CCTGTGGAACGCCCTCCCTTCAGATGCCAAGGAAATAAGCAGCTATCCTATCTTTAAAAGACATCTGAAGGCAGCCCTGTTCAGGGAAGCTTTTAATATTTAATGCTGTATTGTTTTTAACACTCGATTGGGAGCCGTCCAGAGTTGCCGGGAAACTCAGCCAGATGGGCGGGGTATAAATAATAAATTATTATTATTAGTAACTGATTATTGTCTCCTATGACTGGCAGTGGCGCACCATGATCTCTAGCAAAGGTTTTTAAATCCTGCCAAGATCCTTTAACTGAACCCTGGACCTTATTTATGGGCGCCAACACAGAGCTGCAAACTCTCACCATTATAATTGAAGTCCTCGTTTGGCTTTGGTTGCCATCAACTTTTGCCCAGTGTGCGATTTAGTGAAAATGCCGTCTTGGAAAAATACATACACAGGGACTTAGCAGAGTTCATAGATGCAGGGTGTTCAAGTTTCCCAATGTATGTGTTGTGATGCTTGGGGCAGCACCCTTTGTATTTAGTGTAGCCACCTCTTTAGGGAGAGGTGACAAGGAAACTTTCATTCTTGCTGTCCTAAACAGCTTGCCAAGAGGTTTTTAGGTTCTTGTGTGTGCAGACCTTTCCTATGACCGGTGCGAGCTGAATCAGAGAAACGGTGTTATTGTATGAACTGATTTGACTGGAATAAGTCTGGAATGGCTGGCGCTGGTAGGGAGAATTCCATTGGAAAATGGGAACAGAAAATCACATGTTCCCCTGAGGTCACGAACGGAAATCATGCAAACAAATATCAGTTGTATTCAGTACCATTGTTTTAAGTCCACTAATTTTAGGTTATTAGTTACATTATTTCGTGCATTGTTATATATAATATTCCCTTCCATTGAAATGCATTTATATTATGTAGCTAATTAATTACATGAATTTTGGCAAGATGAATAACTGAGGTTTTAGCGGAAGCCCAACTGTAGCAGAATGGAAACAGCAATGATGGCGATGAACCCGCGTCATGGCAGAAATCGCTGCCTCTTTACACTCCTAGCTGTTGGTCACACTTTACTGGATGTAGCAAATGCAATGCCTGAGAGCTTTGCGCAAGGCATGTGCAACAGTTTTATATATAACAACTTAACACTGCACATGTTCTCAGTGTCTTTAAGTAGGTCAACATTGTTCTTCAAATATGAACACTCCTTTCAGGAAACATTTATTTTTACATAAAGACCTTTTATTTTCAGTAGTGCATAAACTAATTTTTCTTCACAAGAGTCTTTGTTATAGCTAAGTTCTGAGAGCATAAGTTGGCTCTAATGTGTCAGTGCAATGTAACCTGGGAGAAAGATAATGTGCCATCCTAATTCAAAGGTATTATTTCATTTCGTTTTTAATTTTGAATACTGCCTTTCTACATTTCTGTATTCAAGGCATTCTCCATTTTTTCCAAAGTGCGGTAATAAGTTTCTTGACAGCTTAATGGGATTCATTTCCTTTGTCGAAGGAAGTATGGGCAATGTAAAAGAAGTCTTGCAATAATACTTTTTGATTCGCAAATGTGTAGGTTTGGCAGGAAGCAATTCTGCAGAGAGGTGCTACGCCAACTCTGTATTACTCTCTGAAAACAACAGTCCAGCACCCCGTTCTTTCTACAAAAGGCTTGACATTTGGAAACAGGAGAACAAACTTGGAGCACCATTGAGGCTGCAATTCCATGGCCCCTGTGATCGCATCCTGGAGATGACTGTGGGATATCAGATCTCGCTCTCGAACCTCAGAGGGTCTGGCACCAGAGAGGCAGAACGAATACCAAACCTCTCCTCCCTGCCACTGCAAAATTCTGTCCCAACCAACATTGGTGGGACCCCAGAGTGTCTGTCAGGAAGAGTAGCAAGTGAAGAAGAAGAAGAAGAAGAGTTTGGTTTTGATATCCCGCTTTATCACTACCCGAAGGAGTCTCAAAGCGGCCAACATTCTCCTTTCCCTTCCTCCCCCACCAACAAAGTGATTTGTACTCAGAGGTGTCTCAGCTGCCTGGCCCAAATCTTTCCCTCCCCTTGTTTCCAATGGGAAGAAAGACGTTGTTTGAGGAAAAACACTGTGGCGTTTGCCCTCCTAGGTGTGTGACATCATACTGGGTTCATAAGGAAAGGGTTAACTAATTGTAAAATAACTAAGCAATAGGAACCCAAGAGGAGGAGTTAGAGTTGTTAAGAAGTCAGTCTGGAGTTAGAGAAGGGATGGAGAGGATCAGTGGCGTAGCGTGGGTTGTCAGCACCCGGGGCAAGGCAAGTAATTTGCGCCCCCAAACCCGTGGATTTGCGCCCCCTAACCCTAACCCCCAGATGTTGTGCCCGGTGCGGCCGGCCCCCCCCCTGCACCCCCCACGCTACGCCACTGGAGAGGATAAGTCTATGGGTTTGGATAGTCTGATGTGAGTGAGAGAATCTGTTAAGAGGAGTCAAACAGCTGATATAATCAGTCAGAAGGTATTAGGCCAGTATAGGCCGGTAAAGAAGCTAAAGTTAAGAAACTGACAAGAATATTATCTGAGAAACCATAAACTTGTTAATACTTATAAAATAAACTTGTTTATTTGGTTCAAGTTTAACAACTGTCTGGACTCAGTGTTTTACCAGAGAGTAACTGGTTGGTGGCAGCGGGGAAGCGAGCACAGTGGTGGCACAGGGATCAATAGACCGCTAAACGTCCGGGGACCCTGTGTGATCGCCACAAGCACCTTCAAAATGGGCAGAGGTGGGCAATTTCTTAGTGTTGTACTTTAATTTGTTGTGAACCTCCCTGGGGCCTTAGGGTGAATGAAGAGTGGCTTAATAAATAGTGCTTTGAATGGGTGGGTTAAAATGCACTCTGCTTTACCTCCCCCCACACCACCGCCCCTGCACCCAGCTTCAGGATCACATGGTAAATGCTTTTTTTTATTTATTTAATGTAGCATGTTTTTAAAAATTGCAAATAGGAGTGGCCGGGGGCTGAAAATTACTGGGATTGTAGCAGATGGGGAGGGGGGATTTACCCTTTCCTAGCCAGCTGCCTTCATTTGAAGCTGCTCTTTGAAGTGGAAGGAAATAGCAGATTATTTTATTTAGTCATTCACATCATTTTGATGATACTGTCCATTAATAAGCCATCTGGGCACTTTACAGGAGGGAAAATGCAATGCAAATAGCAGCTTCAGGGGAGCAATGTTCATCGGAGCCCCAGCAGATTAGCAACCACCCAAATCACAGACTGGATTTTGGCAAACTTAAATAGAGTGATCCATCTTGGAGGTGGGAGGAGGGTAAACTGGGATTTTGTTTTCGCATTTCTTTTTTCTCCTAATTGTTGTCATATAATGGAAGTCAAGAAAACTGTATTTATAATAAAAAGCCTAACCACAATGTGCAAAATAGATCAGAGAAAGGCAAAGGACACATGAAGTTGCCTTTACTGAGTCAGACCATAACCAGCTCAGTATTGTCTACAGGGACACGGGTGGCGCTGTGGGTTAAACCACAGAGCCTTGGACTTGCCGATCAGAAGGTCGGCGGTTCGAATCCCCGCGATGGGGTGAGCTCCCGTTGCTTGGTCCCAGCTCCTGCCAGCCTAGCAGTTCGAAAGCATGTCAAAGTGCAAGTAGATAAATAGGTACCACTCCTGTGGTAAGGTAAACAGCGTTTCCGTGCGCTGCTCTGGTTCGCCAGAAGCAGCTTAGTCATGCTGGCCACATGACTCGGAAGCTGTACGCCGGCTCCCTCGGCCAATAAAGCGAGATGAGCACTGCAACCCCAGAGTCATCCACGACTGGACCTAATGGTCAGGGGTCCCTTTACCTTTATTGTCTACTCTGACTGGCAGCTGCTCTCCAGGGTTTCAGACACTGAGAACTTGGGACTCCCTGCATTTTAAGAGATGCTCTAAATCTGAGCTACAGCCCTTTTCTGAGACTGTGCCTTTACGCTGCAACGTCCGGGGTTTCCCATATCCAGTCCTAAACAGATTCCTAATCTGCAACAGATCATCTGTTTCTCAGCCTAACCTACGGGGTTAATATGAAACTAACACAGCTTTGAGGACTTTGGAGACAGGGTGGGATAAATAAATAAATGAAGGTTTTTAGCTGAGCTACTGTTTGCTCTCTCTGTATATTTGCTTTACGGTGCAGTGAAGGACAGACAGAATCCAAGGTGAGGGAGGAGAGGTCTGGGACCCTCTTGAATTATTATATTTTAGCATCTGCTGCAGTTGGCTGGGTTTGTGAACAGGTTGCATCTTAATAAAAGTTCAATATATTGTTACGGAAATTACGGGGGCGGGGCACATCTTTAAAGTTAAATATTACAAATATTATGCCTGAATTTATCCTTCCAACCTGACAGCTCAGGGAAGTTACCTAGCTTTAAAAATAATATAAAATCAACTCCTTTGCCAGTTTCCTCCATTCCAAAGCTATTTTCCCCTTGAAAAAGGACTCCAGGAAGTTCCCAGAGGTCACAGTTGCTGGGCTGCTTGTTGGCCAAGGAAAGCCTAATCCCATCACCAGACTTGCCAAGGGGTCCAGATGTGCAAAGGAAGTTCTATTGTACTTTGGGTGGTGGGACTTCAGAGGTGTTTGCCTAGGCTAATCTTATACCTGAGTCTTGCCCTGCCATGTCTGCCTATGCTAATCTTGTACCAAGACATGTTTGCCAAGGTTAAACTAGTGTAACCCCTGTCTACCCCTCCCCTTTTGTGACATGTCAGTGATGTAGCAATGATGCTGTACAAACTGTATTCTGGGATATGGTGGGAAAGTTTTAAAAGTCTTTGTCACCCCATCCTCGGGGTTCAAATTTCCTCTTTGAACCTATTGCGCAATAAACTCTGGTCTACAGCTATTTGCTCTGGTTGGTGGCTGGAATCCTTCCTTTATTCCACAGGGACCCGCGGGCTCTGCCCAACGAGCTGGGTGACTGAGCAGCCTCACACCTAGATTTTTCCGTAACAATATGGACATCTGGTATGCATTTAAAGGTTAAAAAGTTTTCATATTTAATTTCCAGGTTTCTTTTTTTTTAAGATCTCATACACTCTGCAATACACAATATTCCAAATTCATGTTGAAATGAAATCCACAGTCGAAGTATATACAAAATCTCACATTACAAACACTTCTTTGCATAAAGGCGATTCTTTTCCCCCTTTCCCCCTTTTGTAAAGCAGCAGCTGATTATTTATTCTGGGATTGTCACTTCATTTTTCTTTTTTTTCAGGCTCATCTGTGCCTGCTTTGCTTGAAAGCGGTGTACTTCTTTATGGTGTTCTCTGACTGCCTTTGCAGCTCTTCAATGTGAGAGTTTAAAACCTGCTCAAAATCTCTCGCTCGCCTCTCCTCCTCTTGTAGGAACTTCTCCGTCACCGTTGCAGCAAATGGAGTCTCTGGGGAAGCCTGAACGACACAAAGAATTGGCACAATTAGGACGGGGTATAATTAGCCAGCTTTTCTTATTAGCTTTCACACTGACAATACTGCACTGGTGAAACAATCTCTCCTTCTTTTGCACATTCTGTTCCACAGAGTACTTAGCCCAGCCAGTGGTATTACATCCCGCTGGGATAAGTCCGTGTCTATATCAGGACGCCACTGCCATCAAATTGGAAGAAGAAAAACTACAATAAGCATGCTGGGACGGATCCCTTATTTAAGGTTCCTTACTATAAAAGCGCATGAAAACCAGTATTTTAACATTACTGAAACTCTGCCTCATTTCACATCTTAAATATTTTAAGTCTTGATTTTTGTGTTTCTTATTCCAAAGAGGTACCGTATTTTTTGCCCCATAGGGCGCACCGGCCCATAGGGTGCACCTAGTTTTTTTGGGGGGGGAATAAAGGGGGGAAATTTATTTCGCCCCCAGAACAGGCAGCTCTCCGCAAGCCTAGGGAGAGCTGCGCGAGAACTGCGCGAAGCTCAAAGCCTGGGGCGCGCTGAGCTCAGCGTGCCCCAGGTTTCAGGATGCAGGCAGCTCTCCGCAAGCCGTGGGAGAGCTGCGCGACTTCTCGCCGGGCTCCCATGGCTTGCGGATAGCTTCCTGAAGCCTGGAGAGCGAGAGGAGTCGGTGCACAACGACCCCTCTTGCTCTCCAGGCTTCAGCGAAAGCCTGCATTCGCCCCACAGGACGCACACACATTTCCCCTTCATTTTTGGAGGGGAAAAAGTGTGTCTTATAGGGCAAAACATACGGTATTTATCCAATCCCTGCATTTGTCTTAAAACCATATGCATCACCATTTTTTTCATAAGCTAAGTTAATGCGGCTTAGAGTATAAAGGGTTATGTACGCGGGAGCCGCTGTGGGTTAAACCACAGAGCCTAGGACTTGCCGATCAGAAGGTTGGCGGTTCGAATCCCCACCACGGGGTGAGCTCCTGTTGCTCAGTCCCTGCTCCTGCCAACCTAGCAGTTCGAAAGCACACCAAAAAGTGCAAGTAGATAAATAGGTACTGCTCTGGCGGGAAGGTAAACGGCGTTTCCGTGCGCTGCTCTGGTTTGCTAGAAGCGGCTTGGTCATGCTGGCCACATGACCCGGAAGCTGTATGCCGGCTCCCTCAGCCAGTAGAGCAAGATGAGCGCTGCAACCCCAGAGTCGGCCACGACTGGACCTAATGGTCAGGGGTCCCTTTACCTTTACCTTTAACACATAAAAACATGCCCATTAAAAAAATAATCATATATCACAAAATAGCAAGCATGGAGGTACAGCACTAAAATAGCATAGCTAAGAGATCAATGAACTAAAATCCTCCTGGAACAACCACGTTTGGGCCAGATCCTGAAAAGAACGACATGCTTGGGACAGATCAGTTTCCCAGGAGAGGGCGTTCCACAAAGTAGGCCACCGTCAAAAAGGCAGCAGGTGTATGCTGAATCTCATTTATCCAAGCGATCTGGAGCAAGGCCTTGGATTTTTGAAAGGCTCATGTGGGGAGGAACATATCAAAAGAGGCAGCCCTAGGGAAAATTTAAGGTTTTAAAGGTTAAAACCAACACACTGAATTGAAAACCTGGGAAGTTTCTGAACAGTTTTCAAGGGCAGATCCTGTGTGTATGTATGTGTGTGTGTGTGTGTGATTATGGCATGAACCAAAGTGGCGTGGTTGTGGCTTAGGCAGGAAGGGTTGTTGTAGCTAGCGTACCAACCAAAGCTTGGAAAGAAAAGCGTACCTCTCACCACTGTTGCCAGCTGCACATGCAGCCACATCAAGGAGGACTCCCAAAGCTGTGAACCTGGTATTTTAGGAGCAGTGAAATCACATCCTAAAAAGGCAGGTCAGCTAACCCTGTAGGTTAACCCACTAGCACCGGGGAGTTTGTCCTCTCTCTGCTGCTGCCGCCGCCACTTGATCTCCTCAAGTGTAGGGGAACAAGCAGCAGAATCCAAGCCTCTGGTTTGGCAAATTCAGCCCATCTACACTCCCAGCAGCGTTGACCCGGCAGCCTAAACCACATGGAGAGACCCTGAAGCCAGTACAGCCCAGAAAGGATTTTATTCAAAAGGAGGACATGTAAATAGAAAGAGGGGAGAGAAATAGCAAGGGCGCGGCTCAAACTTGAAATAAAACATCATAGGTCTAACTAACACTTCACTTGATCTGAACTAACATTGCTAAACACACGGTCACTTCTGGCCCTGGCAGCTTCAGAAATCAGTTGCAGTTTAGATGGGATCAAGAGGGACAAGAACTGCCTGAAAGAGTAACCTTCTAAAGAGCCCCTGAGCCAGGTGGGTCTTGATTGACACGTGGCCATGTCCTGCCAATCATCTCTCAGGTCAAGATGGTCAGCGTGACACCTTTTTTTATAGGCAGATATCCTTCCGGCACCCTCCACCCCGGTTTCCCAGAGTTGCCGACCTTTTTTAGGGAGGACGGCTGTTACGTACTGAGTTGAATAGGATCCAAAATGCAGCAGTCTGATTGGTCCTAGAACAATGCAGCAGTCTGATTGGTCCACAGGAGCCACCCAATCCAGATCCAGGTGGAAGTGAATCCACAACCTGATTGGCCTACAGGAGAATCCCGGAATTAGCCAATCACGTGCGGCCCATTGTGTAAATAATGTATACAAAGCAGATATTTTGGGGGAACATTCATTCCTCCTCACCACTATGAGCTGAATAAAGAGCATGAAATCCACTCTCAACTCCGAGTATATTTCAACGGCGCTGCCAGTGATGCACCTGGCTTTGCGGGGCTGGAGGAGGCGGGCAGCGGCTGGAGGGCAGCTCCTCCGGCGGGGAAGAGGCAGAGGCTGGACGCGGCGGCTCCTGGCTCAGTTGCCCATTTCGTGCTGTGGTGGGCACGGCAGATGGAGGCTCCGGGCACGCCGCTGCCTCAGCGCAGCATGGTGGAGATGGGCGAGGGCAGCGAGCTGATGCAGGGAGGCGCCACGTCCAGCCTCCGCCTCTTCCCTGGCGCCCTGGTGCCCTGCGCCACTAGCCTCTATGGGTAAGACGGCCCTGGCACTTGTGTATTTAAGAAAGGACCTGTCTTCTTGGCCAAAGTATAATGGAGGACAAGAGACCAAACTTCCTCACAGGCTGCACACCTAACTCTGAGTCAGCATTTCCAGCTTGTCTGGATTAAGTTTCAATTTGTTCTATCCCATCCAGTCCTTTGCGGCTGACAGACAGCATTTAAGGGATCCATTACCTCCCCGTGTTCAGAAGGAAATGATCGAGCCGGGTATCATTTACATACGCAGCCAAATCTCTGAACAGCTGCTAAGCAGCATGGGAAGAAAAGAGAAAAACTCCAGAGGCCGCAAGCCAAAGGAAAGAGCAGCGAAGTCCTAGGGCTACCTTCTGCGTCCTACCTCACAGGACTGATCAGAGCCAACTCGAGATGGTGCTCCTAATAGCCACACCTGCCAAGGCATCCCAGAAATGCACCATAGTTAATGGCGGCTAAACACTACCGAGATGGCAAGGAAAATCAACAGGATCACAATCCCTCTGTCCCAGCACAAGTCATGGACAAGGGTAACCAAAACAATTGCAGTCCAAACCCAGAGAGGAAGAGTCCCTGCTAATCGGTTTTACCCAGAAACCCAGAACTAAGTTGCAAAACATACACACACAATTTGCCAACAGGTAACAGTTCAAATCAGAGCGTTCCTATTATTATTTCCAATAAAAGCTACACTACACTTTACTTCAGTACCAAACGAAGGAAGCCTTCTCTAAGGGAAGTGTTCATCTCTGAGCTGTTTTCACAAAGTGAGAGTCAAGTAGACACAGGACGCCCCGCACTTCTTCAAGAATCTTGTTCATACCTTGTGCACTGTTTTAAAGGTTTCGAAGCTAAGTGCTTGTTCACACACACATATTAATTGGTTTTTGATTGCAGCATCAAGCGATGCCCTATTACTGGTTAATCACCACACAAGATTTTTTCATAGCACTTGACCCCACTTCCAACAAAATACTTTTGTTGAGAACAATCCGGAGACCAAGGAAGCAAATATATTTGTGAGACTTGAAGGTGCTTCCATTCATAAGGCTGAATTCAACAAAATAGTTGCACGAGGAGGAGCCAGGCCAATAAGTCCCAGTAGTGCAACAGGGCTTTCCTTTCCTCTCCTCTCCTCTCCCCTGCCCACCCCCACAATTGGCTCAGGGTTCAAATTCAAGTGGCATCAGCATTACGAAAGATGCGGTTTTTACAACTAAACATCATCATCGTTATCATTCCAACAGGTTTTTTTAAAAAATAATTTTTATATCATTCCAACAGTTTAGCGTACCAAATTTGTTTGTTTATTTCAAATCAAATTTGGCAAAGTAAGGAAGGAGTCAGAGTAGCCTAAGGGGTGATGCAAATCTAGTTTGTGACTAAACCTTCACTTGCCAATTAAATCAATTAAAGCTTATATCCCTGCACCCACCACATGAATTCCACCTGCTTTTAATTCCCAGGTGCTTGTGGAAATAAAAGTCCGGTAAGGTTGGGGGCTGAGACATGCTGGTGATTAGGACTGTGATGCGGGGCGGTAGTTTTGCGCTGGATTCAGCCTCAATGTCTGTGGCGTTTTCTGTACGCCAGAACTCCAAGGGTCAAGCAGCCCCCAAGGATCTGTAGCACAGATGGGCAAGATGGCTGAAGCCAATGTGCGATAGCAGCTGACCTTGCCTTATGCTGCAATCCCACCTGGGTGGGGAGCAGAGCTTATTTTCAGCCAGAGGATGCTGGAGTGCAGTTCCGGCACCTCTCAGGTGGGCGCCATTGCAGGCCAGTGTACCCCCTGCCCGCTTCTTGCCTTTACGTGCTCATGGGCTGGGTGTTCATCAGTATGCAGATGACACCCAGCTCTACCTCTCCTTTAAATCAGAACCAGTGAAGGCGGTGAAGGTCCTGTGTGAGTGCCTGGAGGCGGTTGGAGGATGGATGGCGGCTAACAGATTGAGGTTAAATCCCGACAAGACAGAAGTACTGTTTTGGGGGGACAGGGGGCGGGCGGGTGTGAGGGACTCCCTGGTCCTGAATGGGGTAACTGTGCCCCTGAAGGACCACGTGCGCAGCCTGGAAGTCATTTTGGACTCACAGCTGTCCATGGAGGCGCAGGTTAATTCTGTGTCCAGGGCAGCTGTTTGCTAGCTCCATCTGGTACGCAGGTTGAGAAGCTATCTGCCCGCAGACTGTCTCACCAGAGTGGTGCATGCTCTAGTTATCTCCCGCTTGGACTACTGCCATGCGCTGTATGTGGGGCTACCTTTGAAGGTGACCCGGAAACTGCAATTAATCCAGAATGCGGCAGCTAGACTGGTGACTGGGAGTGGCCACCGGGACCACATAACACCAGTCCTGAGAGATCTGCATTGGCTCCCAGTACGTTTCCGAGCACAATTCAAAGTGTTGGTGCTGACCTTTAAAGCCCTAAATGGTCTAGGTCCAGTATACCTGAAGGAGCATCTCCACCCCCATCGTTCAGCACGGATGCTGAGGTCCAGCGCCGAGGGCCTTCTGGCGGTTCCCTCATTGCGAGAAGTGAGGTTACAGGGAACCAGACAGAGGGCCTTTTCGGTAGTGGTGCCCACCCTGTGGAACACCCTCCCTTCAGATTTGAAGGAAATAAGCAGCTATCCTATCTTTAAAAGACATCTGAAGGCAGCCCTGTTTAGGGAAGTTTTTAATATTTAATGCCGTACTGTTTTTAACATTTGATTGGGAGCCGCCCAGAGTGGCTGGAGAGACTCAGCCAGATGGGCGGGGTATAAATAATAAATCATTATAATTATTATTATTATATGTACTTCTGAGAAGCCCCAAATGAACATTTCAAGTCAAAACGGAAGCTGGCCATCTTGTGCAAGTCTACACTTTTTTTTTTTAGATCTCTGACTCTACCTAGCTCCTAGCTGCTCCCAGCTGCAATTGGTCACGCTACAGGGCGGGGCCAATTCATATTTCCTTTCCTTCTATCCATCTCCTGTGTAGTCGCAGTGGGCTTTAAGCTTTCCAATCAGGCCTTTACCTTGGCATGCATTTTTGCGAGGGCCCTTCTGAGCTGCCCATGCCATCTGCCTGAATCTAAGAGAATGAGGGGTGCTTCCTTTGCACACGCTGCCTGAGTCTGAGTCACCCCTATCTCTACCCTGCTCCCTTCAAACTTTTCCTGAAGATCCTCAGGAGAGACTTTTCAGAGGACCGTAAAGAATGGCGAGAAAGCTCGATTGCACAGCAACCTTCCGCTCGCCCAAGTTGTGGATGCAACCCAGTGTTCCTCTTACAAACAAGATCTGGAGATCCTTACCATCCGGATTTCATCTGCAACACAGATTTGGCTCAGTAGCGTCTCAGACTTGTTCTTTTCAGGGAGGCAGCTGCTGTAATGCGCTGGATACGCCTCTTGGGGTGATGGAGACCTGCCATCTGCTGTGGGTTCTCGGGTTCTGCTTGGTCTTTGAAGAGGCAATGTGCAGCTGCTCTCGACGCTGACGATGTCGCCTTGGCCATGCCAGGCAGGAACCTGCGTCCTGTAGTGCACGAAGTTTTCATAAGCTGCAGGTTGTGGTGCCCATTCACTTTTGTTCTGCGCAGGTCTAAAAGAGGAATTAAAAGGTTTACAAGCTGGTTTATTGCCATGAAATATTTGCTGACATGAAACAGTCTTTTACAAAATGACCCATGGAACGTGGCTTTACAGAACTCAGAGTGAGGCCCCCTTTTGGGCTGGAGGGCAGAAGAAGCATTCAACTTTGAAATTTGGCTTGACTTTTGCCAAATTTGTGTGGGATGTGAAACACAAGAGCAGTCAAGTACAACATTCCTAGAGTAAACATGTTTACACATGGGTAGAAATGTTTGTCCAGCCAGCAGGTAAACTTCCTGTTTCCTTCTGGGCTGGGACAGACTTCCTCTGCATGTGACTAGAGGTGGGTGTGGCCTCACCTGTGCAGGTAACGACAAAAGCACAGGGCAGGGCAGCCATCTCTCTCTCTTTCACTACATGCATAGAAGAAGCAACATCTGCTTAGCCAAAGATGCTCTCTTGGCTCCAGCCAAGAGAGGACAAAGGGACTGTCTTCTTATGAGATAGATTCTAGGTCTATGTTACTTTTCTAAGCTAAGTCTACCTTCTGGGATCCTATTGTGAACAGAATGATATGTGAGTAAACTCTTTTTATACTTTTATAGAAGACTGTGTCGTTTCTTATCTTTTATGAGGGAATAAGGGGGAAATACCAGAACAGTTATTATAGAGGCTTTAGCGAGCCTGAGCAAACGCATCGGCTGCAAGTTGAAAAGGGGGAATGTTACTCTGCTAAATTGTGAACTTGTTAACAGAAGTTGGAAAGGCTTCTTGTTAACAGAAGTTGGAAAGACAATATATCCTCTCCTGCATCCCTGAACATTCCCACAATTTGCAGTCCAACGTTTTCATGCCATATGCAAGATGCTGACCATAGATTTGAATGGAAATGCCATGGGAAGGACAAAGTATTCACAGCCAATTTTAAATTGTACGGATGTATTAAGTCAGACCATTGGCCCATGGAATCTAGTACAGGCAAGGGCCTGGGGGGCCTTTGTGCTGGCATGCCCCTTTGACAATCGCCAGGGCGCCTTGCCTAACTCTTGGAGAGCCTTTTAACTGGGGATTGAGCCTGAGGCCTTTTGCATGTCCAAATCCCCAAGTTCTTCCATTTGAGTTAATAAACCACTATGCATTGCCCACCCCTGTAACAAATATCATGCTTAATCTGGCCCTAACTGCGTTTCCGAGCACAATTCAAAGTGTTGGTGCTGACCTTTAAAGCCCTAAATGGCCTTAGCCCAGTATACCTGAAGGAGCGTCTCCACCCCCATCGTTCTTCCCGGACACTGAGGTCCAGCACCGAGGGCCTTCTGGTGGTTCCCTCACTGTGAGAAGTGAGGTTACAGGGAACCAGGCAGAGGGCCTTCTTGGTAGTGGCACCTGCCCTGTGGAACGCCCTCCCATCAGATGTCAAGGAAATAAACAACTTCTGACTTTTAGAAGACATCTGAAGGCAGCCCTGTTTAGGGAAGTTTTTAATGTTTGACATTTTACTGTGCCGTTAATTTTCTGTTGGAAGCCGCCCAGAGTGGCTGAGGAAACCCAGCCAGATGGGCAGGGTATGAATGAATGAATGAATGAAATAATTATTCAGTGGAGAGGCACTTTCTACTGTTTATTCTGAAGTTATTTCTAATCAGTTTCTGCCGAGTAAGTTGTAGGGCTCGATCTGTCAGTTTCTGTTCTCTCCGCTTTCCTTTTTTTCAGTCTTAAAATCAGTTCTCCACATTCCTGCAGCAATTTGTGAATTTTTGAAGAGAAATCCTCATGAAAATTCTTCAGTATTTTATCCTAATAAACACATTTTTGTATTCAGTTTTGAATTGCGTATGCATTTTGAAGGCAATTTTTCCTAATACTTTTTTTTGCATGTCATTTTCACTTATTCATTTTTTAATGCACATCCCCCCCCCCATCGTAAACACTGTTTGGAGAGATGCATTGTAAAATTCAGATAAGTGCAAATTTCAAAGGATGGCTGTGCTTCGGTTCTTACACTGTTTAAGAACATGCACATTTGATTTGGCTTTAAATGTGAACCAAATTCAATTTCTTTCCCCTCCTTAGTGAGTGTTAGCCTTCAGTAATGCCTGCTGCAAATCTCCCACTGAGGCTTCCTTGGAGATTACACACTTCTGATTCTATACAGCTACAAACTGAAGGAAACAATTGTGAAGTTACTAGCATTGACTCAATTTTTATTTTTATTTTATTTTTGCTTTCCACTGGGCAAATGTTACCAAGACGCATAAACATAAACAGCACAAAGACATTAGCATGGCATCTGGAAATTGCCAATTACCAACTCATTTCCCCCCAAAAAACCTCACCACATGTTTTCTATTTTTACTATCTCAAAGATATCCTTTTACCCTTCATTCCTTGGCATAATTGCCATGGAAACAGAACAGCAAATTAAAATAGAAAAACATGGTTTATGTCCGCAATAAAATAAAATATACCCTAGAGTCAAAATAAGCTAGGAAACAATAGCTTGATTTGTCTGCTTCTGTTTGATGCTTGATAATATAACTGAGGCTTTTGGGGGAAAATATTGGAGCATTTCCTGATTTACAAAACCAGAGCCTAGATACTAGGATTTCCGGCATATGTTTAAAACTATGTATGGATTTTCATGTTGAGGCACCACAATTTGTAGATAAACTATATGGACTTGACATCCGCATTAAATCAACCCATATTCATATTTGCCTAGCGATCCCTGCTGTGGTTTTAACAATTAAGTCTGGATTGTGTGCTCTACCAACAACCCAGTTGTGGCACCTTATTCTCATCACAGCACACTCCCAAAGTCAACCAATGAAACTTTACGCAACTCACAATAGTCTATGGAATAACCAAGAGGTCCATAGCCCACATAGGAAAGCCTTGCACATTCTGACAACCAGTTGTTAAGATTTTGCTACCCCCGGATCAGAGAATGGTGTTGCACAATCCAGGTAAGTGATCTTACCATATACATTTCTGTCTACCAATCAGCCTCGCCCTATTTTGCAAAGGAAAAGGAATTAGTAGCCTCTTGGGAGCCAGTGTGGTGTAGTGGTTAAGAGCGGTAGTCTCGTAATCTGGTGAACCGGGTTCACATCTCCGCTCCTCCACATGCAGCTGCTGGGTGACCTTGGGCTAGTCACACTTCTTTGAAGACGCTTTGAGACTCCTTCGGGTAGTGATAAAGCGGGATATCAAATCCAACTCTTCTTTTTCTTGGGAGATGTTTGAGGTAGGGCAGTTTTGCTGCACAAATTCTGAGGACCAGGTGCGGGTGGGATGTTCCATGGGATGTTCAAGCAAAGGTAAAGGAATTCTAGTAAGATTTCAGCTGGGGTTCAGCTTGGATTTGGAAGACAAGTAACCATTTGCATTGCTCTGACAAGTCCCATCAATGGGCAGAGAGGGTGTTGTGCAAGAAAGGAATGAGTGCTAGGAATTCAAGCAACTTTGGAAGGCGAGAAATCACTGGAATTCGACAGCAGCAGAAGATCTGTAGGGTAGCAAGGCTCAGATGGATTATTGGGGGAAACTGCAAAGCCAATACCCCCCCCCCCCAAATCAGCACTCTCTGGAAGTTTTTATGGGTTTACAGGTCCTCAACTGAGCCCATCTCTCTGGTGCATCTCAGACTCAGGGCCTGTCCAATGAACACTCATGTTTCACATGGCCCCAGTACAAATTCTCAGGCATTTCACATATTGACATATGTCTACCTCACAGAATCGCAGTCAAGTTACTTTTTCTTTTTACTCCTTCCCCTGTGAAATTTTGGTCCTCTGCCTTTGTTTTAATTTTTAAAAAATCAGTGTGATTTTTTCCTTACGTGAACATTTTTGCAAGCAGTTTCCCCTAAAATAATTCATTTTTATTTGTTGCCTTTACAAATATATGCATTTTGATGCACACGTTCCCATAATATGCACAATTTTCTACATCTTATTTGGTTAGAGAACTACACTACAAAATGCAGGGGAAATGTGAATTTCAATGCACAGCTGTCTTTCAGTTTCCATATTGTTTTGGAAAGAGCAAATAGCTTTGCCGTAAAAGCCAAACTAGAATGAATTTCTCCTCTTCTTCCTACCATTTAAAATATTTCATCTTATCCAAATTTCATACCTTCCTCTTTCGCTTTAAGTGAGCAATTCAGGATTATTTTTAAACTGTGTGTGTCAGTATTTATGAAACATTTAAGGTAATTCAGTGGGCGACTGGCTAAAAATGAACGAGCCAGAGATATATTTACAAATTATTTCTTTCTACTGAGCTCAGGATATTGTTATATATTGCGCTGCTCTTTCACGGCGCGTATGAGTTTAATGTGATATTAATTTATTCAGTACCATCTGAAATGCTGCAGCTTTTCATGTCGACTCAATGGGGAGCACTAAAAATCACAAAAAAGCATTGAAACACTTTTAATGAAACTTTAAAAAACTGAAACTGGCAGGAGAGAAAGAGATGATAGATGGCAGGTGTAGTTCAAGATGCTTATTAAAATAATCTCCTGCTGAGCAGTTTACATCTCACACTGGTTTCTCTGGCCCTCGCTTAATTTTTTTTTTTTATTAGACAGTATTAACATATTCTCTGTGGCTTGTAAAATGAAAAGCAAGGGGGAGAATCAAGATAATATATTACAAAAGGTTGTATCCAAAGTAGTGCTTAGAAGCAGGGCGGTGGGAGTTCTGTTGCATTAGGGGAAATCCTTTTGCTGATGGACTGTCCCATCCAAAAGTTTATGTGGCTATGACACAAAAGGTTATGTCTATTTCTAAGATTTGGAAGCACCTGACTTAGCATCAAAGACCTCTTCTGAAATATTGTACATAGTTCTGGGCTGGATAACCTTAGATATATGGCTCTGAGAGCAGATCCAGTATTCAAGATGTGTTGGTGGGGAAAAATATAGAAAAGAGAATTTCTGGATGCCAAGGTCCAAGTTTGGGACGACCCCAGTAGAGATTAAAAAACCAGAAGACATGCAGCAAA